AAGCATTGATGGCCGATTGCAGAGGGCAGGAGACGCAAACAGCTGAAAGACGAGAAGCTGCCACTGAGACAGTCGCCGCAGATGCGGCTCGATGTTGGCTTAACGATTTTTTGGCCCCCATTTTTGGGAGGCTGTGCGGAGTTCAAGCACCAATTTGCATATGTTCTTTTTGCGTCTCGCAGATCTGCTTGGCTGTGGATTGCGAAGCGTCTCGGATCTCCAAATTATGTCGTTATTTGTGCCATTTTTGGCAATACCTGCGACGACGATGCGGCTCTGTGATAAATTTGCAGCACTTAGCTGCAGACGTTGGCAGTTGGCAGTTGCCAGTTTCTTGTTGCTCGTTGCATGTTGCATGTTGTTGTCTGTCGAGCTGTCAGTCAGGAGTATGTCAATTGGCTTGCTAATGGCTGCCAATGCATCAGCTTATGATGTGCCCGGACGAGATGTGCCCGGGGAGCAGCTGAAGATCTGAGGAGCTGCTCTTAAAGTGTTGTAAACGATGTGGCAAGGCGACGTGCCTAACGAGCCGCACAAATACACACGGCATTTATCATAAGCGGTTGCTCATAAATGCAAAAGGGTTAACCCCCTCCCTCTCCCTCTCTCTTCATCTTCTCTTGGATTATTTTACTTTTTACACTTGCCAATCAGACGATTCCGAACCGCGCTCCGGCCTCAGGCAGGCAAAGGCAGCGCTTGTTCAATTAATTTGGCCAGCAAAGCGAAAAGAGACTGCATTAAAATTGCTCGAGGTGAAGAAGCAGAGCCAAGTGCAACAATTGAATAGATAATAACTCACGGGCTCCACCTACCCAGCCACCCACCACATACATTTAGCCAGGCAACTAGCCTAGCCACAAGCAACTGACCGTTGACCAGGCCAACAAAATGTTGCACCAGCAGCAGCAGCACAGCAACAGCAACAGCAAATAGCAAAGGCAACATTCGCCTGTTACTGTTTGCTGCTGCTGTCATATTCAAATTGCTAATATGATTGGTGTTTACAGATTAGAAAACAAATATTTCACAAATATTACCACTAATAATTTGTTGCTGTTGTTGCTTTTGTTGCTGTTGCATGCGGCGTCATGTTGCAAGCGGAACATGATAATGAAGCTAATGCTGATGCTGATGCCGATGATGATGCTGATGCTGTGTATAAATGCTCAAGTGGCGGCGATAACCTTTTGACTCGCTCTCTCTCCGGCTAGGCAAATTGTGACTGCGTCTTGGACAGAGCTGGAGTCAGAGTCAGAGGCAGAGTCAGAGTCAGAGTCGTAGTCGTAGTCGAGGCAGGAGTTGGGTCTGGAGAGGGGTGCAGCCGCGTGCAAAACTGACAAATTGAATGAATAAAAGAGCAACAAGTGGTCCTCGCTCCGCATGGACGGCCAGCCTGGACAGCCGGACAGCCAGCCAGCCATAGCATAGTTAAACATTTTGAATGAAAACGCCAAGAGTGAAACGTCGACTGAGCTGCGGCTGCACGCTGCACGCTGCACGCTGCATGCTGCATGCTGGCAATGTGTTGCACGTTGTGTTTTGACTGCAGTCGAGAGGCGCAAAAACATAAATCGAAACACTTGCTGCGTGCGCCCGGCAACAGATGCCCCAGCTGCCCCACATCCCTCTCCCCTGCAGTCCTCTGTGGACACCCTCGACACTGTTYGCCGCCCACCGCTGCAGCAGCAGCAGCAGCAGGTTCCTTTGCTGCCTCGGTAGGTGTTGCCCCAGCGCAGCGCTCTGCCGTGGCCAAGAGTCAGTCGGACCGCAGCCGAGTTCACTTGGAAATCAAGTCGAAAATTGCAATTGCAAAATGTTTGGCCCTCGGCTAAACTATATAGTGGACTGGAGTGCTGGCCGCATTGGTTGACGCTGACGATTCCACCAATGATTCCACTCCCGCCCTCCTGCCGCTCGCCACTCCACCCCTGGCCTGCTCACTCATGTGCCATCTATTTGCCAGGCCAACCAGCCACATGTGGCACAATGTTTGCTCCGATCCGAGCTTTTCCTGCCAGCCAGCCAGCCAGCCAGCCACGTAGCCTGCTGTTGCATTGTTGCAGTTGTTGCAGTTGTGTTTGTCGTTTAATGCGTGGCCGCCTCGCAATGGTAAGGCGCTTTATTAATTCACTCGACGGTTGCTTAATGCTTGTGCATATATGAATGCCCTGGCTGCAAGCGAGTCTCTGCACTATGGGATCAACCCACTGCCAATACAGATTTGGCCACGAATGTTGTCTGCCATTTCCTATAAAGGATGTTGCGAACTTTTCCGAAATTAGCCACTCTTGATTGGTTGGTTGAATTTCAATTTTTATGTTGCATTCTCTTGTTCTAATTAAATTAAATTATTGATTTCGCTTTCAACTTTGAATAAGCGCGTTTATTATTATTACATATTACATATAATTGTCCACTCGAAGCTGAACTAATTAACTATAAATATAAAAGTATTTTTTCGGCATATTTACATTTGTACATATTTTAATACAAATTTACATATTTTACATTATTACAATATTATACAAAACAACTAATTGTAATTATAATATTTAAAACATCCATTACTCAAGTTTATAAAATATTAAAAAAAAAATTATATTTATGTAAATATGTGARGAATTATATTTCTTTAAGTTATTATTTTAATTACTTGACAAATGAATATATTTTTATTCGACTCGAGCCCCTATAGGGGGTAAATCTTCCAAATAATTGTGAGACAGTTCCTGGTTTCAAGGTTTGCGGCTTCATATTTTTTAATGGGTTTTAATTTTTTATGTTTTTATATTAACGAATTCACCGCACAGCAATCACACCAATATTTAAATATATCTATCTTAAAAAATACATACAAACACATTCTTTAAAATAAAGAATTCATTAAAGTGAAAAATTAATTAATTTACTGCAGATACTCTGAAAATATTTATAAATAGAAAAGAAAGAACAATAATGTTAAAAATGAAATAGAGTTTATTATAAGCGAGATTCCGTTCATTGGGAGAATATATGTACTTCTCACTCCAAGCTTCGATTTTGTAAATCATTTCACTTACCGTACTTAATACATGGTGAGAGCATCGATAATTCGCTTAATATTCCCTGGCGGAATATCCACTGGCCATTGGCTAGGCTGTCGCTTGTTGCGGTCAGTGCGGGTGCTGGGGCATTACAAGCAGGAGCATAAATCGGCCCCAGGTGCTTGGGTGCGCATTTCCCACGGATTAGTGCATAAATAAAGAAGGTCAGAGCTCTGTTTGGGGGACAGCTAGCCAGTTAACTAGATATTTCAAATGCGCTGTGGCAGGGGTCGCCGTCTCCTGCCGATGGATCGCCATAGGCCGGTCAACTGTACCGTAGCCTCTCGTGGAATCGCATCGCATCGCATCGCTTTCTTTTTAGGGCAAGAGCCAAATTGCTTTATTAGCCGCGGCACCCCACATATAAAGCGTAACAACTTCATTTGGGGCTGCCAGGGAGCGCCTAAGGTGGTCCTGCGCAGCATTTCCTTTAGCTCATTAACACGTTGGCTGCGCCGATCCTCGGGCTGGGGATCAGACTGGAGCTGGACTGGCGTTGATGGAACCCACACGCAGCGGTTCTCACGCTGCAAGACAAAAAGCATTGTGTGCGCAATTTAAGATTAGCAACAGTTAGCACAGACAAAGGAATGGCCACGGCATGGATCATAATGATAATGCTTATAATAACAACGGTCGGTCGGTCCGCCCGATAGGTCGTCTGGTCGGCCGGCCGATCGGTCGGTCAGCAAGGACCACCAAACGGCGCTGATAAGATGCCGACCCGCAGTCCGAGAACTGCGTGCGCAAGATCTGGCGAGGAGATAGCGAGGGGAGCTCCAGCTGGTGGCTCCATCGATAATCGCGCATTAAGCGTGCGTAAGTCACGTCACGGCGAGGCCCCGAGCAACAGCCAGACGACCGCAGGGCACAGAAGAGGGAACCAAAAAATGAAACTGCGAAAACAGAGAGAGACCTTGCCCTGGGTGCGATCGCGATAAGCGCGACTTTTGCCTCGGTACGTGCTAAACCCTTGCCTGCGATCATTTTAATTATACAGTACCCTGGGCCAACTGCACCACGGAGCAGCAGCGAGTTCACTGAGACACCGAACCACCGTCGCCACCGCCACTCCCTGCCCCACTCACATTACGGGACCGGGGTCAAGCAACGCAAATTGTGGGCTTGGTCAATATTTGTTTAAGCCGGGTCCATAAATACTTAATTTGTTCAACGGTTTTTTTTTTTTTAATATTTTCCCTTATGAAGCCATTGAGACGACAATTGGACCGCAATTACCTTAAAGTCACTTACGCAAATACAGTTGAGCCTGATGGACCAACTCTGTCAGATGTCTGCAAGTCGTTGCAAGTGCTGTATGGGCACTACAAATAAATATATGTATAGTATATACCTCAAGTTCAGCAAGGAATTAAGAGAAAGCTTCCTTCTCTTACGAGAGGGCAATCACGGGATAAAATGGTAGTGAAAGTGCTCTATGGGGAATGATAAATAAATATCATATATATTCCATTCAATGATTTCATAAGGAATTGAAGTGGACTGTCACGGGATGTTTGATGATGGTGATGTAAATGCTATTTGAGTACTAAAATTAAGTATCTGTCTATTAAATGTATATAATAACAACTCCTTAAATCTAGGAAAGTATCTACAGAAAGATTTCCAATATCTTCTCTTATGGCTGGAGAGAATTTCTGCATGTTTATGGCAGTACTTTATGAGGTTTGGATACTAATATTTCATTCATGCAAGTGCTATATGAGTCCTACAAATGTATTTGAAATTAAGATATATTTAATTCCTGATTAAAATATTTCACTAGTAATAAGAAGTAAATCTCAAATTATACGATTATATATTCGCAAGATATCTGCAATATCCAAGTGCAGTGAGTACTACAAATAAATTCCAAATTAAATTATCAAATATTTATTAAGTTCCACAAGTTTAAGAAAGGGTACAAAAAACAGTTTTTCCAATTTCTTCGTTGGCTTTGAAAAGTGTATGAGCGTCAGTCGAAGTAAGGCGAGCACCCAATGGAGCTGTCCAGCTTCCACTGCGTTCCACAAATGTTTTGGGCTTCACTTAAAAGAGAGACAGGCCACAGGTTGCTCAGTCCTCAGAGCCGTGCTCGGAGCCACGTTGGGAGACGGGCGCCGAGGCGTCCACCTCGAGGTAGTCGTGCACCAGCTGGCATATGTTCTCGGAGGCCTCGTTGAAGTTGCCCTCCTCGAGGCCCTCGCCCACGTAGTGGTAGACGAAGGCTCGTCGCTGGTAGAGCTTGTCGAACTTGTTGACCAGGCGGCACCAGGCAATCCGGATGTTCGTGTTGTTCGAGATGGCGACACAGGCGCGACTCGTGGGCGCCAGGTCCCCGTGTGGCACGTAGACGGGGGGCATGTTGCTGACGCCGATCTTGAAGCCGGTGGGCGACCAGTCCACGAACCGGAAGGACTTCGAGCGCTTGATGCCTTCCAGCGCCGAGTTGATCTCGTTGGGCGCCACATCGCCGCGGTAGAGCAGCACGCAGGCCATGTACTTGCCATTGATGGGGTTGCAGCGCACCATCTGGTTGCTCATGTGGAAGCACTGCCCAGTCAGCTGGGCCGTGCTCATGTTCACGAACTGCGAGTGGGTGATGGGCACCAGCGGGGCGTAGTTGATCAGGGGATAGTGAATGCGCGGATACGGCACCAGGTTCGTCTGCAGCTCCTGGAAGCTCACCGACTGACCCGAGAATCGCTGCGTCGCCGTGAACGCAGCCACCACTTGGCCAATGATGCGGTTTAGGTTGGTGTATGTGGGCGCGGGCACATTCAGGGTACTCGCGCAGATGTCGTACAGTGCCTCGTTGTCCACGATGAAGGACACGTCCGCACAGTCCATGGAGAAGTGGGCGGCCAGCAGCGCGTTGTACGGCTCCACAATGACCGGGGAGATGCTGCAAGGCGTAGGAGGGGCGTCTGAAGTGCACACCGAACATAGCTCAGCTACTTACGAAGGCGACGGGTACACTAGGAACTCGACGATGGTCATCTTCCTGCCATAGTCCTGGGTCAGCTGCTCCATTATGCGCGTGCCCAGGCCGGAGCCTGTGCCGCCGCCAATGGCGCGAAAGACCAGGAAGCCGCGCAGGCTCCGGCAGCGCTCGGCGACGCGCCGTATGGCATTCATGGCTCGATCCAGCAGCTCGCTGGCCATCAAATTGTAGCCGCGCGCGAAGTTGCTGCCCGCGTCGTCCTTCCCCGTGATCAGCGTGTCCGGATGAAACAGATTCCGATAGGCGCCCGTCCGTATCTCATCTAAAGCGAAAGTCAAGCAACAAGTAAGAAAACTATTGTATTGCATACATCTAAAACCTTACACTCTGATTTACCATTTCAATGGGTTCAGGGTATATCAGTATGGGAGGGGGAAGTCCTAGTCCCTAAGAGCACTATTGAACAGAAGAAACTGCTGCCTAGCCATCTAATAATTATAAATATCAAAGTACATAGCTAAAGAGCATATCATCATTTAGCCTTAGCAGTGTAATGTGAGGTAATACGATTTAACTATGCGGTTTATTTGTCTATGTATCTATTCGAATACCTGTCTCTCTGCTTGTCTCCTGTTTATCTCACAGTCTGTCTCTCCGTCTGTCCGCCAAAGCGAAACAGGGGAAGCAAAGGAACTACATAAGATCACTTAAGTTGTCTGTAAGTATGCAGTAGTACTCATTTGGTATTTATATTTGAGAGTAATCTCCACTGCAACAAGCCCTACCTGGCGCCGGGCTCAACATTTGAGAGCGACTCAGGGTTTGAGTGAAAGCCGCCCTATATAATAAACGGCAGCAGCTGCGGCATTTCTTCAGTCGTCCAGGTCGGGTGGGGGTCGGTTGTACGGTTCAGGAAAGTGAAGTGTGTGATCGTTCTGCTAAGCATTAAAGACGTAGGCAAATCACGTAAGGTAACTCAGTAAGGTGATTACGAAAGGGAAATACACAAAGGAAGTATTATAGGAAATACTTTGAAGACATACAAAGTAAGCACGTATAGAAAATAATGTAATACGCCCGAGAGATGAAGCTAAATATCTTTATGCTCCTTATGACGTGGTGAAATAGTTTAAAATCTTTAGCTTTCTTTCAATGTATCTTACAGCTCTCGATTTAAAATGTCTACACTACTGCAGATACGGACAGCCAGACGGACATTGAACAAGAATCCAGTAGACTCGTTTCGATGCGCGAGCGAGTATCAAAACGCGTAGGTAATTAGTAGACAGGCACCTATGACCGTGGGCTCCGTGTCAATCATGACCAGACGGGGCTGCACACAGGGCTCCATGCCGCTGAACTCGAAGAAGGTGAGGAAGGACTCGTCGCAGGGTTTGCTCATCAGTCGGCCGTTCGAGAGGATGCCATGCTCCAGGCAGTAGAGTTCCCAGCATGCATTTGCGATCTGCACGCCCGCCTGGCCGATGTGTATCTGTATTATCTCGCCCTTGTTGCCCATCTGGTGCTGGAGGAACTACTCAGCCAGTGCTGATCCAAGCCAATCCTCGACATATGCCGCTATTGAATTTCGATCACCCTTGAGCCAGAAGTTAATTAATTTCAAATCAAATTTAACTACAAATTTTGTTATTGAATTTTGTATCTGATTTTTCACATAATTTAATTTACATTGTGATTTCAATGACAAGCTAAACAATTCATTGCTCAAGCCCTGCTTTACATACAATATATTTTTAAATACATATGTATATGTGTATAAATATATATAAGTGGCGTGTGGTCAATAGTATAGACATTATACATACATATATATTTCTTTTAAGTACGCACATTACAAGTTTACATTACATCCATTATTGTCCGCGCGCGGATTAGTCAGTTTTCGAAGCGTTAAGTACATTTCCTTAATTACAGAGTATATTTAGTGTATATAGTTAGTGAATTTCCGTGCTCGAGTGCATATCAGCTATAACGTTACTTTGGGATGTACGCGAAGGAAACTGTTGTAATTTTTAAATATTTTTATGGAATTTATATAAGTACATACATATAAATATTTGCGTCTGTGCATGTGTATTTAGTGTTGTCCTTATGTGTGTATTATACAAAGCAGTTGGGAGTTTCTAGCTACGTTTTCAATGATTTACAAAAAATACCGCACAAATATAAAATACTCCAAATTTATTGTAACCACAAACGTGACAAGCTGCAATAGCTTTCGTATTCTGTCCTGCTCTTTGACTAACTAAATAAGTATAGCTCGAAATTTCTATCGAAAATAACTTTGTTTTCCTATTCTTTCAAGCAAATGTGAATTGAGTTTTTGGTTAAAAGCTTCTCAGAATTTGTTTTGGCTAAAATTTTAACATAAATATAAATAATTTCAAGAAGTGTAAAATGGATATTGATTCGGTTTAAATTAAATGAATTAGTTTTAGAAATAGGAATGGTAAAATGTTCCATATATCCAGGAATTGGAATTCTGCTGCATACATTCTGTATATAGCATTAAAAATTTAAATTAGATTTGCGAAGATTGTCACATTCTATCGACCTTCCCTTCGGTCAGACTATCCTCGTATTTTATAAAGTCTAAATATATTTCTAAATACAGGAATGGGTCAATATCTAAAAACTATATGAGAGCATCATTTAACACTAACAATTCTGAAGTTGCCATTAAAGTAGAGATTAGCCTAGTTATTTAGCAGTGAGATAAAGTGATAACTGAGCTAGCTGTGAGCTATGGGAACCGAAAGCTATTTCAGGGCATCGACACTTGCGGTTGCGAGACTAGAAATAATACAATTTTGTACATTTGAGTCTGGGACAGATCAGGAAGCAGGCAATAGACAAAAATTCTGTGTCCCAGCTCAAGGCTGCAGTTTTGTTCTATGGCAAGCGGGAATCAAGAGTAATTCCCTAAAGCAGCGACTGTTCCAATAAGATGCGCTCGAATCCCGGTGGAGGTCCGTGCGTGAAATTATCCAGAATAATGTCCAGAATGGCGCCGTTGCCCACTGCAAGGTAGATCAGAGAGTATATTTATTAGTTAAAGCCGTGCAAAAATACAGTGAAATCTCAGTTAATGGCACACTTAAACGTCTGACAATGGAAAGTCAAAATAAATGCTTCCATTTCACATATCAAAAAGATTACAGATAAACGCATTCACCATCAGATAGGCAACAGTATGATATAAATGTGAACCAGGGTATCAATCATATTTAAGCCGATGATATAAATACAGCTGATAAGAGCTCACAGTAGAACTACGCCCGCCCACGAGTAGAATGATTTCACTGAATTACCAACAATATCGTACCATAGATGACGGGAAAGAGAGCCGGGCCGCGCACATTGATGAAGGGCACCTCCAGGTTTTTGCCATTGAAGTAGAAGTTGAGCTCGACATGGTCGAAGGCCACGCCCAGTATGTCGCCCTCATCGGGAAAGTCGCGCTGTGGTGCGCTGATCAGAGTGTCCACGGGGCTTAAGTCTGCGGGCGACTTCTGCTCCGATCCGGTGGTCATCAGCAGATCCTCCTGCAGATCCTCAATGGCAATCAGGCCAGCTGCGGCTGCTGCACTGTTGTTCAATATGCCATTGGCAGTGGTTGTGACTGGCTTTGTGGCGGATGTGGGCTGTGCGCCAGTGGCCACCACCGGACGGAACTCCTCGTCGTTGTGGCGCGTGGCATTGTCGGAGCACAGGCACCACGACTCGCGGTCTCCGCCGCCCCACTTGCGGGACAAGTCTGCTTGGCGCGTAGCCAGGCCAACGGACCAGCAGCCGCTCTGCTGGATCTTCACCTCGAAGTAGGATTTGGACTGGACCAACGGCGCTGTCGCCAGCACTCCGCCCGTGCCGGTGACTCTCAGCTGGTGCGAGAGCAGTATAACATCAGGGCCTGGAAAACACACGCGTAGGGTATTACCAGTGCATGTATACCCCGCACAACTTACCCATATGCGCCGCGTCGAGGTGCACTTCGGGCTCCCTTAATCGATGCGCGGCTGCTGTCGGCTTTCGGAGCTGCCCTCCATTGAGGCACGTGCGCAGGCAGCAAAACATGCCCAGTCGTATTTATTTGTTAAGTTTTGTAGTATATATTTTATATACTAGTTAATATAACTTTATGTCAGCTTAACTTTTTTCCAGCTGCAGTTTGTTTTTTCTCGTTTTGCTGCTTTTCGCTTCGTTTCTCAACAGCTGTTTAATTTGTGTGTGCCAGCCCTGGCTGACGCCATCTTGTGACGTCACCATTGCTGAAGAGCTGTCTTATTTCATTCCAATAGATGGCGCCACCAAGCCATCTATAGTTGAAGTTTCGACTACGCGCACTCAACAGAATAAAATAATAAAAAATCGTTATATATGCACAGAATAATGTTTTTATACGTCACCAAAATTAATTTGCAAATGTACAGATGAGATGTATGCCTATAAATATTTTAATGTCATATTTTTTTAATAGTTAATAAATAAAATGCTACAGATTTAAGCAAACCCAAAATTAAAGCCAACTTTAAATTAGGCATTGGAAATGTAGGAATTGATATGGGGAATTTACATCTGGAAGTAACGCAAAAGCTATAGCATTTTCCAATAAGGTGATTTCCTTTGCCCGACCCTTTAGATAAGGTATAAATGCTACGCAAAGTTTTGTCAAAACCAACCTTATATACAACTGATGATCATGCAGTTTCATGCTGTCCTCTGAAAGAGACCTAAGGGTTTCGTTTCTATCAAAACTAAAGACCTAGAATGTAGATCGCAAGCTACATAGGATGAATCGAGTTAAACTATTTAGATTTTGGGGATACGCCCACTATAAGAATGTCGATTTGGGAATACAAGAATATCAATTATATATTGAATTCAGATTGAAATTATTTCTAATGTAATGCAGCCCCTCATTAAAATCATTTTGGATTTTTGTTCGATAATCATTGTAAATCAAACACTTGACCAGGCAGGCAAATAAAGGACTTCATTAGGTTTAGAAATAAGTATTCTCTGCACATCATATATCAATTGTTAGTTTGCCTCAATTTATCAGATCTACTTGATAAGGAATTAATATTATAAAAATTTGATTGTGTTTTAGTTTGGTCTCAGATAAAAACTTTTATTCCGCAATTTCAGATTTTCAGTTACACTTTTCGTAGTTGGCCACGAGCTTTCGATAGAGATCCGATACTCGGGAGCTCTTGTGGCAGACGGTGCCGCCGCCGCGATGTTGCTGCGTTTGTTGCCTGTTGATGTCGCCAATGCAAATCCAGTCGCCGCCGCCGATGCGCCAGCGGTGCAGCTTGATGCCCGACTCCTCGGAGACGGCCCACTTGGAGTGGTCGCCGGTGGTCTTGAACTCCACGCGGAAGTCCGCATTGGCGATGTCCTGGACGTTGAACACCTTGTTGGCCTTGTCGCAGGAGTCGGGCAGGTTGCCAGCGCCGTCGCGCCAGGCCTCCACGAAGAGGTTGACGCCCAGGGCGGGAGCCACCAGGTCGCTGTAGAGCTCGATGTCGGCGCGCGCACTCTTGCCAAAGAGCCGGAACTGCTTGCCGCCCAGAGTGCGCAGCTCCACTTCCTTCTGGAAGGGCGCCTCGGTGCGCCACTGCCGCTTCAAGGCGCGCTCCAGGCTGGGGAACGTCTCGGCAGTCTTCAGCAGGGGATTGCGCTCGTAGTAGAAGTGCGGCTCGTTGTAGACCAGCAGCTCGCCCGCCTTCTCCACGCCCTCGGCATCCAGCGTCACGCAGAGCAGGCTCTGGCCGTAGTGCTCGCCCGTGGTGGGGTAGCTGTAGTCCGGCACCGTGGGGTACTTGGGCACCGAGTGCACCAGCCACATGCCAGTCGTCCCATCCGTGGCAATCACGCCCTTCGCATGGCCCCCCGTGGCGGACACCGTCCCATTGGGGTACTCGTCGTTGTAGGCGGCCAGCAGCACCCGCTGCTGGTCCGCGTAGAGCGGCTTCAGGGTCTGCGCCGGCAGCGAGTTAGCGTCGCTAATCCGCCGGCCCGACAGCTGCCAGTTGTCGTAGCTGTCGCTGGTCACATACATATACCTCAGCCCACTCACGTCCTGCCCGCTCTGCCCTCCGGCCGAGTAGTGCTTGGGCAGCTTGTACATGTACCACCTGTTGGAAATAGGAGTTAAGTGTGCATATATTAATTGGCTGTTCTGATAAACATTATCAATCAAATAAATAGTTCTACCTGTAGCTGTACCATCAATATCTTTAATTATGTTCTAGCACAAGTGAGAAAGTTGCTGATGGACGTTATGGAATGCAGAAATGCTGCTATCTCCTAGTGCACAAAATAATATATATTTAAACATAAATATATGGGTATATCCATAATATGGATTCCATATATTTCAATATAAATATATATGCGGAGGTTAGAAATATATTTTTTGTGGCTAATCATTAACTTCTTACTTAAACTTGTCGTTTCTAACCAAATTACTATAGAAGACTTACGGATTTACCATGGCTCCATAGACGTATACCTACATTTTGCGAGTGCTTTGACTTTCGCTCTAAAACTGTGGAAATTACCACCATATCTTTGTCAATATGAGTGTACACCAAAAAGAACATTTCCCATGTCGGGAAAACCTTATCATTTTAAGGTTACGTGGATCAAGTCTCTAGCCTCTTATATGTCATGCGGATAGATGAATGGACAACAACACGGATACTGCTACAACCAATATTCCCATTTACTTTCTTGAGAGAGTAATGAAACTGGAGCATGGGCTGCAGAATAAATTCTCGTCGATCGGTCTCGCTTGGAGAGCTCCTAATTGTAGGTCACAGCCCGAAGCAAAACAGATTTAGTGGAGCATTACGTCTTTATTTTGGTTAGGCTTGACTCGTCTCATCAAGTGTTAACAGTTTTTAGCCATGCCCACATGACAAATGGAGAGCTACAGTCTTTTTTGCAAATAAGGTGCCATTATCTGAGGCACTATTGACGCTTCAGATATTTAGTTGTTTTCAAATATATGTATTATTCAGTAGGCAGTTTCTGTGTGAAATTTTGTGACTTGTTTCATTGTTTTGTTTGAAACGGCCCATTAAGTCGCACTTCGGAAAACTGTGTTGATTGTGCAGAGTAAATAGTAGATTGTGTCTTGCTGACGCAATGTTCGGGAACATGACGCATCCTATGTCAGCTAAGTGGGCTATCGGTGGAACTGGAAGCGTGGTAAAAATAAACGTACATAGAATGCATCTACTCGCCATATGGGTACTAAAATCTATTTAAAGATGACTTGTTTATACCATCCATAAGGTCGCTGATTAAAAGATACCCTGAACCTAGAGCGAATCACTCTCACAGCTTGTATCTATCATATGCATCCGACTGACAGAGCAGACGCAAGGGAGACGAACAGATAGACTAGCATAGATAGATCGATTCAATGTGTCTACGTTAGTTTAAAAAAGATTGAAAAAACTATCATTTATTAAAGAACATATTCGATAGTGACTTATCGAAAGTGTAGAGCCTTAGCTCTTCCGTTTCAAATTCATTTATATTTTGGAACTATTCCATTTTAATCATACGGTTATGAACAGGATTGCCTGCGTTTCATGTTGGCAAAAAGAAAGAACTGATTGATTGATTGACTCATTCCGCCAATTCCATCCCTTACACTGTTTATGGAGGTCAGTCCATAGTCTGCAACCTGTTTTTCAACATGTTCTTTTTATTATTTTTTATATTATTATTCGTTGCTTATACCACTCTGAGCATAGTTGAGATATGCCATATCCCTTAGCATATGTCAGATATTCTCTTTTTATTGTTCGCTCAAACACCTACCAGTCCACATCGTGTCCCTTTTCGTCCTTGCAGGATACTTTGTTGTCGGCCAGACAGGCCTGGAGCGTGGCAGCTGCGCATAGCAGCAAGCAAATCAATCGCATTTTAGAACCGTCTCGTCGCGAGGTACAAACTCTACTGAATCAGACCAGCTGAGGGAACTCACACATCGACTACAGGTTGTCTAAAACCTCTCATATATCTGCTAACAGGGTGTTTCATTTCGGGTCTTCTGCATTCCCTTTATGCAGTATTCCTTCCGGGCAGGTAGGAGGTGATGACCAGGTAGCTAAGATGACCAAGACTGTCTATCGCATATGGCGGGTTTTATCTTTTTTTTTTTGCCTCGCAGACCCTGTACAGCAAACACTGTTGTATGTGTGACCCGTTTGATGAGCTCGGTGTACTTTGCTTATCAGCAGAGCTCGCGAACTCGGGGCAAAGCCAGCATCTGTCTTAGGCTTACGGCTGTAGTTGCAAATCATTTCAAGGGGATTTCGCATTAGAGTTCCTCCTAATTCCTCAGACAGACGTCTCTGTAATCAGCGATAAGCCGAATCAGTATTTTGCACAAAGCAAAATAATAAATTATTTCTATATAGCTCAAATTAATTTGATTTAATATTGTCTTTTAAGTGCTGACGCGGACTTCAACACATGCTGATTATTCATTTCAATATCATTTATAAGTAAGCTGGAAACCAAGCAGAAACAGCTGCGCTCAATCCTCATTAAATGACTTACCAATGGCTTATATTCAGCTTCAATCAATATTTAACATTCCTTGACAACGTTCATCAAGTATACTAACTAACTAATGTGGCTAGCATGCTCTATAAAAAATTATCAATATTAAAAGGTATTTTAGAATTTTTAAGTAGTATCTATATTATTTACATATCCCCAGTATTGAGGAAAATTATTGACTCTAAAGAGCAGATATCAGATTTCAAAGTATTCCCTGTGCTACCTGTTAAGTATTTACAGCTTATCTTCCCCTCTGCCTATTGCTGTTTGCTCTAACCCAAAGAAATCAATTTTTGTTTACAATTACACAAAACAATTGTTAAAGTTTTTATTCATTATTTGTATTACATATTATTATTTGTTACTGCTGTTGCTGTTGTTGTTGTTGTTGCTACCGTTTGCAGTTCGCACTGCCAAGACCCTGTTTTGGTTGGGTTTAACTTTGCATTTTCTCTGTTAATCTCTGGGTCTGTGCGCATCGCTCTGATGATTAAATGGGGTAGGGGAGAAATATTATCAAATTGTATAATTTGTTTGTGTGTTTGCTTGTATGTTATTTTGTTTTCTGCTGTTTATTTATATTTTCGTAGTACAATAATAAGTTTCTGATATTACGATAATGTAATTAAAATAAGTTGCATTTCATCCTAATCGCTGCTTGCGGCCTCTTGTTCGCTCGTGAATAATGTGAGAATGCTCACGATCAACTCTCTATTCTTGATTCGGCCGATTCAATTCATTTGGTTTCATATCGTTTCGTTTCTTCGCTCTTCTGGTAACTGCCAATAGAATTCTGTTAATTTCTGATCTTTGGTTTCTTTCGTATGCAACAACACACATTTTATAAACTCACAAATACAATATTTTTGCTAAATACTTATGTATGTTTTTTTTTTTTTATCATTTTTTTCTTTCTTTTTAGTTTACTTTTAATATAGTAGTTAATAATTTATTAATATATTGTATGTTTTTTGTTTGTTTGGTTTACTTTGAAATATATATAAAGAACAAGGCTGATATTCATATTTTTGTTTTTGTTTTTCTGTTTATGTAAGTTTATAATAATATTTAGCTAATTTTTGTCTTAGCTTTCGCTTTTTTCTTTTGTATATTTGTTTTTTTTTTTTTTGTTTGTTTTTTTTTTCTTTTGTTTTTTACAATACTAGCAAAAGGGTTTGTCTTTGTATTAAAATGAAGATTTGTCAAATGTTTCGCAAAATTTTAAATAAATGAGCCTCAAAATAGACAAAAATGTTGCCATTTCTTGTAGTTGTAGTTAGTATTATAGTGAATTGTATTTGTTATTATATTATTTATTATTATGATGATAAAAGTTGACGCTATATGCAATTAAATATTGCACGCACTTTATATATATATGCATTTTATTATTTATATGTATATATATACTTCTTCCGTTTTTAATTTGAAAATTGCTGCGCATAATTTGTTGCTCCTTTTATATATATATATACTATATATATGTACGCACTTATATAGTTGGTTGTATTTTATTTTATATCGGGCACGAGTTTGATATGTTTTCAATTAAATTTTAAGTGTTTTGCATTTCACTTGCTCTTTGCTTAACTTGTGTTTTCTTCCTTAATCGCTTTTCCATTGATATTTTCAATATTCAATATCCAATTTGATCTACTTATATGCCTATACGTATGCTTGTATATGCCTGTATATATATTTATATATAAACATATTTGTGTATGCGTGTATATGTATGTGTATATTTGTATACGAGTATATTGAATGTATGTAGATAGTATTCATGTATATATATATGTATATATATATCATTCAACTGTCCAGCTCGCAATTGGAAATGTTATAAACAAAATTTACAATCTTTTTCCATATCAATTTCTATTTGAATACATATTACATATTTCCCAGTTTTCTAATTGTTTGCAGGGCTTCAAATATATGTATATTTATATATATGTAGCTGTATTTGCTGTTGTATGTCTTTAGTTGTATAGTTCTTGCAAAAAATTTCACTAATTTAAAATTCGTTTTTTGAAGGTTTTATGCGCATCTCTTCATGGAAGGAAAATAAAAAGTGCAAAGTGAAAAGTGAAAGGGACAAAATAAATAAATMAATGTAAATGAAACAAAGGGTTTTAGTTTTTTATTTTTTGTTTGTTTAACGAACATAATGAATTTATTAAGCATAATTAATACCGTCAATTAAAAAAGGCTAAATAATCGCTACATATAAACGCAAGTACGAAAAGATAGGGTGTATATATAAGGTATATAGACAAATGGTATACAATGGTATATTAAGAACTTAAGCATTAGTTGGTTACAAAACAAGTCGGTTTAGTTATACGTCAGCAGGCAAACATAAGGCAATCGATATCGAATAGTTATACAGGACAGTTCTATGTATGATCGACCCCTCTCGAGATGCGCGAAACGTAAAGTACAAATACTTGTATATATGTATATACATGTATAGCTAATAGCTAATACAATAATAAATACAAATTTGGTTTGCCATTACTGCTGCTGCCTTTCACTTTATGTAAGTCGTATGTATGTATTCGTATTCTATTACTAATTGCCCATAGATGCGTAAAACACACGTAGTCTCTATTATATTGTTATCAATTGTTATTTCTGTTTTTTTTAATTTTTTTTTTAATTTTTTTTTTTTTTTTTTTTGGTAACTGCCTTTTTACGCTTACACTGTTAAAAATGTTTAAAAACCACATCAAAACATATCGTTTTTAACTATAAGTTTCATACTTTTTGTAAAACTTGTTTTCTCATTTCTTTTTGTTTTTGTTTCTCTATCTGGTAAACCTTTCATCTGGCTGATATGTATCTGTTGTAGTTGCATGTAGGTTTATATATATAAATAATAATGTTCGCTTGTTTCAAAAATGTATTCATATTTTCATATAATGTTCCCATAATTCATATTGTTAGTTTAGTTTAGTTTAGCTTATCATTACAAACTAGTTTCATTATGCATTAGATATTCCCATTCAAACGTGTTTGTTCTACTTCTGCATGCACTCCAACTGCATCAATTGTTGTTCAGCTGCTTGAAATCGCACGAAATGTCGGTTAGGAGAATGATCTTTTGTTTTCTTATGTTGTGTTAATGTGGCAAGGTCTTATGTCTTTATCATCGGTTGTCTACATAGTTATAGATACAGATGCGTGAGCTAAGCTAAATGAGAACATGATTTGGTTGGGTAGGACGCGTTTCTTTCCAGAGATGCTGGCCTATGGTTTTCTCCATTGCACAACATTCACACACTCACGTACGCACACTCACACATGCACAGCATCTTATATTATGAATAAGAATGCATTTACATTGCTTTTCCTCGCTCAAAGAATATCTCTTATTCTCAAGCTTAAAAATTAATTTCGAAAATATTTTTTATATTAGCATAGCTTCTAATCCACTTTGTTTCCTTTGGGTAAACATTCTTCTTCTTGTTTTTTATTTAATTTAATTATGTGCTTAGTGGTAGTTGTAAATATTTTTCGTTTTATATTAATTTTATTTTTTGTTTTGTTTTGGTTGTTTGTTCTTTATTTTCATTAAAGGCGCAATTTTATGATATGCATTAGTATTAATATATAATTAAACTTGTTCACCTAAAACTATTTTTTTTAACTGTATGTATAATGTGTGTGTGTGTGTGTGTGTATGTGTGTGTGTCGTCTGACCAACGCGCCTGAATGTTAGCTGATGTTAGCTGTTGTTAATGACAAAGATGATGCTAATGACAATGAGGATCATGATGATGATCGGCAAGAGGAAAGCAAGAAATGTAATTGGACGGAATATGCTTTTACATTTGACTCAAGTCAATAGAAATTATACATATACGAAATAATTTTCAATATTCAAGTTAATTAAACGAGGAGTAGACAAAATTTTCAACATTTTCTTAGATTTTGTTTTCTTGATATCCAATTATGCCAATTATTATTGCCATAATATATTTAACATATTTTTTCTTTCTTTTGTTTTGTGTTTTCCTTGCTTTAACAAACATTTTAAATATGCCTTTGGTATGTCTAGTTGTTTCTTTTTTTTTTTTTCTTAACAAAATATTAAATAGATTTTTACGCTTATTTTATTTTGTTTCAAGTTGATTACTTTCATGTTTGTTTAAGAAATGTTGGGAATGGTTAACGTAAACGATTTTATGTTATTTAGTAAGGACAACTTTGGTAAATATAAAAAT